GGCTTTTAGGGTTTAGGGTTTACCTGAAGTATGAGGGGTTTTAGGGTTTAGGGTTTACCTGAAATTTTAGGGCTTTTAGGGTTTAGGGTTTACCTGAAATTTTAGGGTTTTGGGTTTAGGTTTTCATGTAGGGGCGTTAATAATTAGAATCGGGTTTTGGGGGCATATTAGACTATAATTACAATAAGGCGCCCCTCGATTACCTGAAGTCCATAAAACCTACCTCTTCAGGGCTCCTTACTATGATTTCCTTATATAAGTCCTTACACGGGTAAGCTATTTGGGGTCAAGGTAGGGTTTCGGGTTCTGGGTTTTTAGGCCATTCTAGTTCCAGGGCTTCTGGGCATAAGCTTGAGCCTCGTGGTTTGTAGTTTGAAGCCTCGAAGATCATCTTCACCAAACGAGCTTCGAACAACAACGCCCGGTGGAAGTCACGGTTCCCAACCTTGAACCCCGGAAACCCCCATCATCATGGAGCAGTGAAGATTGTGCTTATAAGAGATCAGGGCTTCCAATATGTGGGCATGAGGCTTTGAAGTTCAATGCGCCAGATATGGGGGTTTCAGAAAATAGGGGACCCTAATATAGTACCCTAAATAGTAGGATCCTTATTATAATGACCCCCAAATAGGATACCCTAATTTTCGGAAACTCCCATATGTTCTTCTCAGATCGTACAGGGCATGGCTTGGCAGCTTCTGACATGGACAACTTCATCACAAAGCGTCCACTGGACAGTCCGGCCTTTCATCTCTGCCTTCTTGGCTGAGCTTGTTGGCGGCCCGGCCTCATGCGATGTTGATGGTGGCCGCATGACTGAGAGCATTCATCCAGTTTATGCATGGCTGTAGATGCTTCGCTGCGAATACTGCCCGTAGTCAGCGGTAGTATTGTCAGAGATTCAAACAAGCATAACTGGTGTCGACCTTGATGATAAGCAACGCCGCTGCTGCTGCTGTCTTGGCCTTTCACCACTGATGTTGCTACTGCTAATATTGCTGCTGCAAAACGCCGATAGGTCGGCGACCACAGCAAGGATGATTGCCAGGAGGAAGAGGACGATGAGGAGGATGAAGCCTATACACCGCTCCTGCCGCTGCTGCTTCTCCTCCTGCTGGCGCTTCGATACTGCTCCCGCGAATGCTCCTTCCCCATACTGCTCCTGCACAAGCACTGCTACTGCTGCTCCTCTCCTCTGCTGCTACTGCTGCTCCCAATTCACTACTGCTTCGACCCGGCGGGTCGCGGAAGGCAAGAGGAAACTCCACGCTCAGGCGAGTTGTCTGGACCGAACCGGAACCCTCCATCTTGTTTGCGGGATCGACCACGACTTCTACTATGATGCTCGTCGCTGCTATGACCAGAAACTCACGACGACTATGACGATCTTCCCATGATCAGAATCAGTCTGAAAAACATCGGGAGCCCAATGAAGCTGACGACGGCAGCGACGGCGAGGACGATGACGATGACGATGGGTGGTAGATAGTGATGGTGGCAGCAGAGATGATAATACCAGTAATGGCAATAAAAGAAATAATAACAGTAACATGTGATAGCTACATTATTATATGTCGCAGATACTTGATGTTGAACTGGGTTCTAGGCAAACGCAAAGCCGCCCTCCACTGAGCCAAGTGCTGTAGGCCGGTCTGGTCGTTGCACGACTGGCCTGGAAGATGGCGGCTTCTTTGAGGATCGTCGGCGCTCAGATATTCTAAACATATGGGGTGCAAGTTGTTTGCCCCTAATATGTTTAGTGCCAGCGCTCACAGATTGAAGGAGTTCTAGGGCAGAGTCTACGGCCAAGGGGCTGTACGTGAACATGTATGATGCCAAACTCAAACTCCTTGCTGAAGCCCAGTCAAGCACTTGCAACCCCGAGCTCCCAAACGGTGGAGGTGTCCCTCGACCTCCCTAAACCCTAAACCCTA